GTCGATGAAAGTATTATAGAAAAACACAAGAGCCAAGTTGCAGAATTTGGCTCAGAAGACGATTTCGAAAAATATGCTGGAGAGCTATTAGATGCAACGGTAGATGAAACACAATTTCCACTGCTTATCATCTTTGATGAAGCTCGTGCGATGGTTGCAACGGGCGACTTTCAGTTTGTTCGCCGAGCACTCCGCTATTTTACAAAGGGTGTTGTAGCAGTATTTGCTGACACCATGTCGAGTTTATGTAATTTTTCTCCATTGGCAGAAGCAGACCCATCTTTCCGACCTCGCACATACATGGAACTTTTCCCCCCTTTTTATCAGCTGTGCACCTTTGATTTGTTCGCCCGCCAGAAAAGCTATCTGGATTGCAAGATATGGGAATATGGAAGAGTCATGTGGGCGGCTTTCAGGTCATGTGGTATGACCGACGGGGATCTTGTTACTTTTGCTCAAGCGAAATTACTTGGCGGTTACGAACAGGTGGAAACGCTCCTAACGATAACACCACAAATGGCAATAGCCATACTCTCATCATTTGCAAGCATTGAAATTACACCCTCTTCTTCCTTGTCAAAGCAAGTTGTTGCAGGTAACATGGCAATGTGTCTTCATGTATCCCACGACCGATCTAGCATAATGGCACGATACCCGTCAGATCCTGTTCTGGCCGAAGCAGCGGCAAAATTGGTGCAAGATACATTCAATCATGAAAAGCGTATGCAAATGCTAAGAGTATTGGCGAACAGCCTTACCAACGGTTTAGTAGAGCGAGGGAAGAGGGGGGAGCTGATTGGTTCGTTGATAATCGGATTGGCGATGCAAAGATGCCAAAAGGCTCGCTTTCAGAAAAAGGTGCCTTTTCGATATTCTCAAGCAGTTTCTTTAGAGGCTTTTTTGAATGTGTTCATTGATATCGATGAGGAAAGTTTGGATACCAGGCTCGAAAATGTCTATGTAAAGTTTTCACATGCATGGAAAATCAGTGGAGGGACAAACCAGCAGCTATCCAAAACGTTATTGAAAGCTGGATGGAATCGAGGCTGTTACTTTCTATGCGAAGAAAATCAGGAAGCTGTTGATGTCGTTATTCCGACATCGCACAATGCAAACAATTATGAGGTAAGCAATGTTTTAATCTATTATAATGGTGGCTCGTGCTAATAGCAAGGCCTTATTCAGGATGGTCCCCCTTTGCTTATCCAAATCAAAAATCGGTCTGGGAGAGGTGCAATCAGAGATGCATTTTTAAAGCTTGGTTCAGCAAAACTCAATGCAATCAAACCCGAGTCAGACGAGGTAACATTTGTAGGACTGTTGCTTTCTTTTGGAGCAAAAACGGCCAAGTCAGAAAGGTATGTGCACTCATCTCGATTGCTTGTACATCTATCACCATCTAATTTCTATTGGATAGAATTTCTTTTAACACAGGATCGAAAAAAAGGAAAATTGGGCAAATGTGAGTTTCCCCTATATTGCTGTTAAAAGAAAATTTTTCGTTCTGCTAATGCTTGAAATTTCCAAGGTATTCTGTCGATAAGGAAGATTTCGAATCTCTGCGCTATGGTGTCGTCTACGGTGTATATGGAAGCCGATGTTTTGAGAAACTATTTGAGAATGTTAAAGAGAACGATGAGATAGCAACAGCTATCAGCGAGATCTTAGATGCGTTTCCTGATCCGATGAAGAAAGAACTTCCATCTCTGTTACAAGACGACGAACGCTACGAAGGCTATTGCTCTTACAACAACGAGTTCCTTACAATAACTACCTTGAACCAAAGTCTAGCTGAAAAGGAGTGAGTGGATTTTGAATGGAATTATTGATATTATGTGTAATGGAATGGTGCCGGCACGTGTTTGCCATGATCAATGAGACAAACCCACCAGGTGGTTATACATTTAAAGAAACATGTTTCAGGAGTATAAAGAACCAAACGAAAAGTTTTGACTGTAGACCACGTAATAAAAAATATATATATAGGATTACCCGTATATGGAAAATTGTAATTACAATGGTTCGACTGAATATGAAAACGCCATGCGCTTCCTAGAGATAGGCTGCAATTGTGGTTGCTCGAAAAAGATTCCGAGAGAAAAATTTGCCGAGTTACGTGAGGCGTTTCAAGCCCTCTCTAGACCCGAGCAAGATATATTTTTAATGGCCCAGCTTAAAGCAATGAACGGTGGAGAAATAACTGCCAGCCGACGTCTTAAAAAGAAAACGCGTGCTAATAAGCGAACGTTTTATTATTGAGATCGCAATACGCCGCTTTGTCAGAAAACGTATCTTAATATGTTAGGAATTAGTCGCACGCATTTCGAAAACGTCAGGAATCACCTCGCGACGAATGGTATAATACCACGCGTTCATGGTAACATAAAACGAGTCCCGCGATGGAAAACCAAAATAACCATTGATATAACTGTTGCTACCGCTGTAAAAAATTTTCTCGAGAATTATGCTGAAATACATGGATTACCAAGTCCTGGTAGAAATGTCAATCGCATTACTCAATCGCTTACACTATTGCCAGCTGAAACGAGTTATAAATCGGTCTATCGTGATTTTATTGCCGGTCTTGAAAATGATAGCACGTTGAAATTGCTAAAATATGATGCATTTCGTAAGTTATGGCACCAATTAACGCCTTATATTCAAATTATGAGTCCACGAACGGATTTATGTGACACATGCCACATTTTCGGAACGGCTTACAATATAATGCTCGTAAGGAAGAAGAAGCGAAAGACTTACTAAAAAAATTCAAAGAACATCTAGTTAAAGCCAAGTTAGAGAGAAATTATTACAACAAAAATACGAAGTTAGCAGAACAACAGAGAAAATTGGTAAACGAGGATTTTATAACAATAGGGAAAGCTTATTGTACCATTGACGCGACTGCGCATTACAGTTACGATTGGGCGCAAAACGTTCACGTGCCCCATTCCAATCAACAGGTAAGTAAGATTTACTATCTTAGTCCACGTAAAGTGCATTTATTTGGCATTCAAGATGAAGCAGTACGCGAACAAATTAATTACGTTCTCGATGAAAACGAAATTATCGGCAACGGCCCTAATGGCACGCTGAGCATGGTATTCGATGGAATAAAGAAATCGAATAAAGGTGAAAAGTATTTAAAGATTACTTGTGACAACGCGGGCGGTCAGAATAAAAATAATGCTACCATTTGATTTTATCTGTATTTGGTAATTTGCGGTTATTATGAAAGCATCGAATTAAATTTTATGATACCTGGACATACTAAATTTAAGTGTGATGGCAGTTTTGAATTGATTAAAAAACTATACCGCAAAACGCCTGTAGATTGTATGGATCATATTGTTAAAGTGTGAAAAAATCAAGTACAGCTGGATTAAACAAGGCTTAGCGTTATGACAACGGAAAAAGTTTTAAATATTTAGATCTCAATTCCGTATTAGGGATTTTTTTTAAAAAATTAAATGGTTTGCAAAAATATCAGCATTTTGTATTTGAAGCAGCCAATCCTGGAGTTGTCAAAGCCCAGCAGGTTGCTCATAATTCATATACTGAATTTAATTTGTTAAAAATTAGAAAAGCAAATGTTGCTGAAATTACCAAAGAAATTAAATCTTTTTCTATTTTAGTTCTAACTCCGCCTCCATTAGATTACAAACGTCAAGAC